GTATGTGATCACTTCTGGGTAACTTTGTTACACAGGAACTGAAAAGCAAGAACGCAATATTCTAAAAATTTGCTGTTTCTTTGTTTCCAAAACCAAAATAAAGATAATATCATGAAAACACTGCAAAAATAGTCACCTAGATTTTTTTTTAATTAGAATGGAATAGTAAATATTAATAATAAAAAAAGGTCATACAAGCAGGAAGTAGAAAATGTAATGTGCACTATGGTGAATATGGGATCTTGTAAGTGAAGAGCTGATTATAAGGCAGATGGCACAAAAGCAGCAAATTTGGAGCAACTAAACTTTTGAGTCCTGCGCAATCCAAACCAAAGAACGTACTCCTAGTGTATTTCTTCATGCACACACTACAAAAAAAACGACATCAATGACACAAAATATTAAGAGTTTCATTACCATGTCACTGTAAGTGTTCTTATCTGACAATCTCCACCGTAAATTTATATCTAAAAATATGTACAGTCACCTGTTGCTACTACTACAATTGTTTAAGCTGAAAATATTCATTACGTAAAACAGCCACTTGTTCTTAGTCACTTTTTCCTCATGGCACATCATATACCGCCCTGCTGAGCATCTGGGACACATTTTCCTTTGTCTTCCATTTGCTGCCAATGTACCTACAGAATCCGTCTATACACACGTGTGTGTGTGTATCTTTCTCACTCCTTCTCTACATTCAGCTCCAGCTGAGCTTTCACTTTTCTAATTCTGTCTCTGCATGCCCAGGCAATTTCTTATTTCTCCCAAGTAGCTAATCTGATGCATCTGCTTGACTGTGTGTCAGAAGCGGCCATGCTTGTACTCCACAGATTGCAACACCAAGATAAACTGACAGCAAGAAGAGACAATATGCAGAAAGAAACAAACAAATAAAAAAACCCAGGTAGTGGTGCGTTCTGACTCAATAAACCAGCTGAAAGATTGTAGGGCCTTCTCATAATGATATGTATTAAAGAAACTAGATCGCCAGCAAACCTATGCCTTCTACAGATACTGCAGAGAAATTCTGGCCTCACAACAAAAAGGTCTTGAGTATATTCTGTAAGAGAAACGCACACATGGACTTCCTCTGTCAAAGCCATCAACACTACCACGGACACTTACCACATCTTCCAACATCTCCAGTCCCAAGCAGGTCTTTATTATAACGAGCATGGTAAAGACACAGTAAGTAGGCAGATGGAGGAGTTACAAGCAGAAATACGCATATTATTTTCCATGCATAATTATTGATTAGGCCCCTGTTTTTCAAATTAAATCACATCAGAATTTCTTTTTTGTTCTATTCACTCCCCATAATTAAGGATATTTCTAGACAACCAGAAACTTCTAAGCCTCAATGGAATAAAATAAGTTAACTGGTAAAACAGTGCTAGAAACATCTATTCTGGTTTAATATGTAGTCAGAACAAAAACCCTTTGTATGTTTAAAGATAAACCTGATAAAGAAAAAATCACACTGAAATTTATGTATCCTTTTTCATACTTAGTGGATTCTTTCAGCAAAACATGCTTTGAATGTGTAATTTTTCAAGTTATGCACAGTTTTATGCATTTGTTGGTAAAAGAGAGCTAAGGTAAAGGTAGCTAAACCTCATGGCTTTACTGAACTTAATTTCCACCCATCAAACTAATGCTGCAAAAATGTCTTAAAAAAAAAAATCTTACTCACTGCATCCTTCCAGCACAAATAAAACTCTGGATCAGTTTTTCCACCAGTTTTCTAGCCCCTTTACAGTAGTTTCATCTAGTCTGCATCTCCCCGCTTGACCATATCAAGTTTACTGCTTCTCTTCTGTTGAGGCACAAGGCACCTTCCCATATAACAGAACAAAACTAGTTTGTGCTGATGTGACTTGTGCTTGACAAATCTATGTTGACTTTCACTTATCATCTTGTTAGCTTCTAAGTGCTAATAAATAGCGTATTTGTTCCAGAACTTTTTGCAATTGTCATCTGATTGCAGCTGACCTTCTTAAAGAGATTGAGGCAAAACAGCTATTAAATACTCCAGCTATCTTGGTAACATCTGCTGATAGCTTAACGTCCCCTTTAATCTGTTCAGTTCTTTCTTGATTCTGTAAAAAAAAAAATTTGCTGCTAAAGCATTACAGAATTATTCTTTTTTTGTCCTTGATGTCCTTTGCTAATTGCATTTTTTCTACAAGCTTCTGTCTCTTCCCATCTCTGTTTGTGCAATTTCATTAGTTTCTCCTTTTTTTATATTTCCTACCAGATGCCATTTCACCAAAGAATACGTGATACAGACTTTCTGTTGTTGCCATATATTTAATCTTTCCTTCATATTGAAACAATTTGCTTTTGTGCTCTTCAATAGTATCGTTAAGGAATTGACAGCTCTGACATTTCTTTCCTCTATATAAGTTTACCTCTTTTTTTGATGTTTATTGACACCCACGTTATTGAAGTTCACCATCTTTACATTAAAAACCTTTTTCTTTCCTTTTCTAGTTGCTATGAACTCTGTCATTTCATGATCGTTCACCCCAAGGTACTTCTCACAATTTGGCTGTACTCAAAACCAGATCAAATTTCTCAGTGTTTTCTGTAAACTTTCACACTGCAAACAGACTGAGATATTAAAGCTTAGTAACAAAGTTTTTGTTGCCAGACTAATGTCTTTTGTATGTAAAAATATGGGACAATTTTTGCAACAAAAGATCCCCAATACTTTAAAACATACAAATAGACTTCCATTCCTGTTGGTCTCAGCCATTACCTCATACTCAGATTGGCAGGTTGTTTCCATTGTGGGCTGAAACAAGTTATTGAGGCAGACATCCATCAATCCAGTTCTATTTACTTACACATATTTCTTCTTATAATTCTGTCAGAGTAAAAATTAAGTCACTTTTTCCTTTTTTCACCTCTAGGTCTTACGCCCCTGATAGCAGCATTGTTACTCTTGCTGTCCATATCTCCCCACTGTCAGTTTGTCTGCTTCTCATTTTCAGACAGTGCAAACCATTCAACACAGTACAGGACCATATTTGTATTCAGAACCCGGGAATACATCTCAAACTGTATTTCAGCTGCTGCCCCAGCCTTCTGATTGCTAGTCCATAATTGGTACATGGTACATTCTACTTCAACACCTGAAAAACACTGGAATTTTCACTGATTCTTCAGTTAACCTGGCTGGGAAATAACTATTGCAACCAACAGGTTCAGTGATGTTTGTAATCTACTATATGTCCAAAGCAATGACACTGAAAGCCAGTCAACCTCCAGTGTGAACTGTTCGGATAAGAAATCTATCAACCTCAAAACCACTTCAGAAAAGTCAATTTGTCCTTTTCATTTAGAATGCGGTGTGCAGCAGCTTTGCTTGGTTTATTTTACCTTAGCATACTATTTCCTGAGGCATACAGAAGAGGAAAGAAACTTAATCTTTTACAGTAGATATAAAAACATCATTCTTAATTTGTAGCAGTGTGTTGGTCTATTTTCTGTTTTTAAGTTTCCTTTCTTAAACAGAGCTCAGCCTCATTACACATTTCTTCCCCACCTATTTTGGATGTAAGAAAACATAAAAATTACGCTGTTTTCACTGCAGCAGATCACCGATGCATAATATGAAGAACTAAGTACTAACAACTGTTTGCACACCAAAGCACTATTACATATGTTTAAATCTGTCTGAACCACTCTTTGTACTTTCTCTCATTGTTAACTACTATTTTCTTTTGTTGTGTGCCTGGCAAAACCCCTTCTTAAGGCTTTCCCACTCAACATTTCCATAATATGCAAACCGCAGCCCAAGACAACTCATCTCCTTTTGAAGGAATTTCTGAGGCTTTCCACAGCCATGGCAGCAGCTTGTCCCCTCCTCTTCCCTGCTCCTTTCCGCATCTAAATAATTTGATATTTTACTGCTTTGTGGTATGAACTACTGAATTGTGAGTAATTTTGTTTTCTTTGGATTTACTATTTGCATCTTTTAACAGCTATTTTCTGTTACTTCTCTCAATAGAGGAATTATAGGCACGTTCTCCTAACCACATCTAAACAAGCATTTTTCACTTAGTGAGCATGAAATAAACATGATGCAGTATCAGATTAGGCATTCTTGCCTAACTAAGCGGTGACAGACACATATTTATAAGATGCAATCAATTCACTAGAGATTTCTAATACAGACCACTTTTTTAGTGGGATGTATTCTGAAGAGCTACAAAACTGTTAGCACTCTACTCTGAACTTTATTGGATGAACATTATTCACATAATAATGTTCTTCCAAGAGGAAAGATTTGGGGGCTCTTCCCTCAGTTTGGAACATATCTAAATCTAATTTGCTGAAAACCAGGATAGTTTTGACCATGGTAGCAAACGTAGTCTGTGCCAGTTGTCAGGACATGCCTTAATCAAAACTCAAAAAACCTCATAAACGTGTTATGTTTTAGATCAGACCAAGCTACACTTACTTTATTTCTGAGACACAATGCATATGCTGCAATACTCTTCTGCATATTCTGATGTTTTCAAAGCACATGCTTGTAAAGGAAAAATGCAGCACATCTCATATTTGCTAATGCTAGTACCAATTACCTCAATGTACTGAGCAGCACAGCTACCCAGCCTAGACATAGTGACAGCGGTCCTCTTTTCGGAACAGTCATGCTGTATGGCCCTGATATTATTAATACTTAAACAACAGCCCTAAGGTGGCAGATATTGAACACTAAGACCTCCAGTAATGTGTGGAGGCCAAGTCAGAAACCTAAACAAAATACAACTATTTTGTGCCTTTAATGCTTTGCTTATATGTAAAGTGCACTAAAATTAGTAATACTAATATTCTCATGTATGCACTGCAGGGCTGTCAATTTATGATTTATCAGCTTTCTCCTTTCAGACGTGCCACAAGAATAGCTCATGTTTTTCCTCCTGTATATTTGCTTTGTTCATCATTTTTTTCCTATGAAGATTTTTAGCTATTTGATACATTCCTACCTGATCTGCTTGCCTTCTCGAACATCATACAAAGAAAAAAAGACATCCGTGTCTTCTCCAATTGTATTGTAGGTGAAGCTCTTCAGACTGAGGAAGAAGTGATGAGGCACTGGCATACGGCAAGCTTCCCCATGGCGCTGACGAATTGTATCCACCTGATTAAAAACAATGAAAATTATTTTTAGTTCTTTACAAATAAAGGACACATAACCAACTTGATAATTTTAACTGAGATTTTGCTCTCCTTTCTCCATCAAGTAAAAGCTTAATCTCCCATACAGTCCACTTTGCAGATCCATGACAGTTTTCTTCCTCTATTTTTTCCATATTTAAACTGAACAGTTTGAGAAACCATAATAACCAAGTAAATACGAGATAAATGTTTTACTCATTTGAAATCTATTTTTATCAAGCAAACCACATCAATCCTATTTCTCAAATATCATCTTGATTCTGGTACTGAAAATGAACTATAAGAAGATGATTCTAAGGTGATCTAAGTGAAATTAAGTAAGTAGATTTCTAGAGTGGAAATCCTGATGATTTGCATTTAAAGCAGATGGACTTCAAAACATTTTTAAGAGTAACATTTGTTACATTATTTCTTTTCAGCAGCTGCAATTGATTTATGGAGGTCATTTAGAATCAGGCTTTAAAGGCTAATATGCCCTGCAGGTATAACAAAAAGAAATCTTAACAATGGTTGATAGCATGAGCAACCAATGAAGTCAAATAGCACAAAGGTTTACGTTTTGACTCAGTATATCAAGACCTAGTAACAACAGGGAAAATTGGGGTGGGGGAAAAGAAAAAGGAGCATAATCAGAAATAAAAATATTCTTTAATTTTTATAGAATCATGAATAATTTAGGTTGGAAAAGACCCATAAGATCATGGAGTCCAACCATAAACCTAACACTGTCAAGTCCACCACTAAACCATGTCCCTAAACACCATGTTTACAGTCTTTTAAATACCTCCAGGGATGGTGACTCAACAACTTCCCTTCATATCCACTGCATGCTGATCTTGATAAACAGGTTGCATGAACATCCTATGCTCACTAGGTGAGTCTCCTCTGAATGTGTAGACAAGTATATACTAACAACAAAAATCTTAACATTTTCAGACTTTCGACCCAGATTTGTACTAGCATAAAAACCAGAGTTTAAAATTCATTTTTTTCTGGATTTCAAATTAAATCCAAGTAAATCCTCACCCTTTAAAGACCCATACCTGTGGAAACACAGTCGTCCTGCTAAGATTAGACCCAGATTCCACGACCAGGAAGGGATTACATTACTACAGAAAGGATATGTGAAACAGAAGCCTACTAAGCCATTTGATAGCAGGTGGAAAGAAGACTCACATGGGCCAACTGAGGCTTTCAATATCACTATAGAAGCTGATCTTCTAAAGAACAACAGTTAAAGCTAAGGAAAACAGGCCTAAATGGAAGTTGAAGAAGAATCTTAGTAAGTTAATTATTTGGGGATCTTCTAAGGAAGTGTTCCATGGGTAGGGACTTCCCAAATGATCTCCATTCTACCTTTACATACATTACCAAACACTTGAAGACAACAAAAATTCAAAAGATGACATTTACCTGTGATGTGCTCTGCTGGACACTGTGTCTACTTGACAAATGCTGTGGAGATAAAAAATAGTAAAAATGAAACCTTTTTGAAAGTAAGAAACATTTGCATTACATCTGCGTAGCATTAGAACAGCAATTTTAAAATATGACTGTTCAGGATTAGTATCAACTTTTCATAGCCTTGTTCCACAGTACATCATCAGTCACAAGACCACTAGATTTCCTAAAGGCTCTTCTCAGTTAAGCCATTTCTTAGCCTAACTACTTCAATTTACAGGTGGCATATACCTTAGCTTTTAACACAAATGGCTAAATCGGGAGATACCTCACCAGTAATCCTCACTTACCAGTATGTTGTCTATGAAAAGATGCATTTGCTAAAAACCAGACATCTAGAAGGGTGGATTTTAGATTTTGTTTAAATTTTTTGCTCTGATCAGGAAAAAAATCCAGATAAACAATTAAAGACTCTTCTGCAATTTCAGCTGGCCAACACCTGTAAAGAAGTACCAGTGTAAAGAGCTACAAGTCCAAAACAGAACTTGGAGGATGATCCTGTATTTAAGGCCTTTTATGCTAGATGGAGATGTTCTAATCAGAAAATGGACTGCAAAACTCACTGAACCATTTAATCTCCAAATGGAGATTTAAATACTAATCTAAATTGAAAAGGTTTCAGAGAGCTTTAAAAACCATATCATTAATGATTCTGCCATGCCTGTTCCACACACGTTCATCCTAACATTAGCATTTTAAACTGAAATATTAACACTACCACATATTAATAAATATTCTCTTCATTCGCTCCACCTCTTTCTATTACGCACCCAACATCTTTTTCTGACCAAACATATACACTTTGTAGCAGGACCAGCACGATCTGTTGATAACCTCTCAGCTTCAAAAGAGGTGAAAGTAAAAGACAGTCCACAAAATTTATTCAGCAATACTTTTTCCAAACCATGCCACTGTCTTTCACACAGAACAAAAATGAAACTTTCTACCACAAAAGGAGAGATAATCTTCATAATGAGACTAAATAAAGATATTAAGTTATATGGCATATTTTGACATCTGTTTATGTTCAGTTACAAAAACATCTTCTTTCACACTGTCGGCAAAAGAAATAATGATCTCCAGTTTCATTGTTTATTTAACTACTGCACCATCTTCCAAATGCTAAAACCTTCAGGTGGCTAAACTGCCTATTTAATCTTTTTGTCACCTGCAACCACTCAGAATCAGCTTGCATAGAAAAGGCCAGTTATTTCAGCTGCTCAAGGTATCCTGGCTTCTTTTGACTACAATTCATCTTCAAATCCAAGTTAGAAAGGGGGAGACAAACTGAAGCAACAGAAATATGAGAGGTGGTCTGAAGAGCTACAGTTTCCTCAGCAAACACAGCTGCTTACAGAATGCACATTTAGGGAAACCTAGTAAGCGGCCAAAAATCGGGTTTTAAATTTTTCACAATCAAAGGACTAGATTTCACTAGCTCTCTACTTCTATGCTTCAGGACCATGCTATTACAATACAGAAAACCACTGACTGAGTTACTGTTACATACCCTTGCCTCTGGCTAGGCAAAGTGCCCAAAGTATACATGCTCTCTCAGAAGCCATTTTTGGTTACATGAATGAGAGGCTGACTGAAAAAAGCCAATGTGAATTTACCGAGGGTAAATCATGCTTGATCAAGCTAACTGCCCTCTAGGGTAAAATAACCAGATCTGTAGATGAGGGAAGGCTAGTGGCTGCTGTCTATCCTGAGTTAAGCAAGGCCTTCACCACAGTCTTCAACAGCATCCTTGTACCCAAGTTGTGAAGTTACACCTGGATGGGTAAGACCAACTATACTAGTAAAAAAACCCCAACAAAGAATTGGCTTGTCAAGCTCAAAAGGCAGCGGTTGATGGCATGTATTCTTCAGAGGTCTACCCTGAGACCCATGCAGTCCAATAACTCCACAGATGATCCTAAATTGGGGGCAGTAGCTGATGTATTCAAGGAGGCTGCCTCCATCTAGAGGGATCTAGGTCATCCAGAGGAACTGGTTAAAAGGAACCTTATGAAATACAGCAAGGACAAACACAAGTTCTCCACCTGGAACAGGTTAATCCTTCCATGGTATAGGCAGGGAATTGACTGGCAGGGTCCTGCTAAACAGCAAGCCAAACGTAAGTCCAGAGAGCATTCTGGTTTAGCCACCTGACATTTAACAGTTTACTA